AACACACACACACACACACACACAAACACACACACACAAACACACACACACACACACACACACAAACACACACACACACACATACAATGCCAGCGAAAACAACAAAGAAACCCCCCACACATGATCATGTGTCTTAGCTAATCTACATCTACTCCAACACCACAGAGACGCCCTCCGCCTTTGTCTCCGTCACGTGCCATCCTGCCTTCTGTTTGCCCATCTGAGAATAACATCTCCCCCTCATCACAGCTGCAGGTTCTTTCAAAGCAATGTATATTCTGGTTAAGGGTTTATAAATACAGAGCAGGTGGCACAGTGACTTTAGAGAACAGATTGGCATAGACTGGGCACAGAGAAGCAGACCCAAAAAAAGCTGAGGTCATTGTTAGAGAGGCGACATCCTGCAGTAGACGGACAAAGCATAGGAAGAAAAAAATACCCAGACAAAAAATCTTCCCCCAGTCGTGTCGAAACTGAGAAGTGAGAAAGAAAGCAGAATGAGGTAAATAAATTATGTGTATCTGTTGTTGTCATGTGATGGGCACTCTTCGCCACAACTAGAGCTGTAACAAAAATATGGCATAAAAATTCTGTAGCGCTTAACCCTGTTCGAATAACACATTTACAAAAAAATGACGATGACAATGACAATAACAATGACAATGACAGTGTTTATCCATCTAGCGGGGAAATATTTGTCGCTTTTAAGCACAAGGGGGCTATCCCGAAAAATGCTTTTTTGAGAAAATCGAAGGTAAAGTTTTTGCCCATTATTCAGTTTCTTTAAAAGACAAGGAAGGTTTTTTCTATAACCAAACAAATATACACACCAATGAAACCAAACTTCTCCTAAAGGTAGGGCAATGCCCACTTTTGGTGTGGGTCAAGATTTCTGGAAACCCCCGACATCTGTGTTAGGTCGCTTGTCCTTAAAAGCGACCAATTTGTCTTGGTCATTTACAATGGCAGTAGATGTTACAAAGGTTAGGAGCACTCACGCATACGCACAACAGGACGGGACATTAGTACTCTCTCTCTCTCTCTCTCTCTCTCTCTCT